TGGAGCCAAGGCAGAACGTATAAAAGTGAGCGCTGAGCTTCAGCCTGCAATGTTCAAAACAACAGATAAAGCCAGAAATCTAGGTGTAGTCATGGACTCTGACCTGAGTTTCAACAGTCACATTAAAACAGTTACTAAATCAGCTTACTATCACCTAAAGAACATATCTAGGATTAAAAGACTAATGTCACAGCAGGATTTGGAAAAACTTGTCCATGCTTTTATCTTCAGTAGACTGGACTACTGTAATGGTGTCTTCACAGGTCTCACTAAAAAATCTATTAGAAAGCTGCAGCTAATTCAGAACGCTGCTGCTCAAGTCCTCACTGACACTAAGAAAGTGGATCACATCACTCCTGTTCTGAAGTATTTACACTGGCTTCCTGTGTGTCAAAGAATAGATTTCAAAAATATTGCTGCTGGTTTATAAAGCTTTGAATGGTTTAGGCCCAAAATACATTTCTGACCTACTGCTAAATTATGAACCATCCAGAACTCTCACTGGTCTTCAGGGACTGGTCAGCTTTCTGTCCCCAGAGTCAGAACTAAACATGGAGAAGCAGCGTTCAGTTATTATGCTCCAAATATCTGGAACAAACTCCCAGAAACCTGCAGGTCCGCTGCAACTCTGACTACTTTTAAATCCAGGCTGAAGACTTTTCTTTTTGTCGCAGCTTTTAATTGAAACTGAGCTGTTGTGTTCATCAGTAAAGTGGAACTTCTGTGTGAACTATTCATATCTTAAACTGCACTGTACATTTTTATTCATGTACTTTTTTGTTCATGTATTTTTTCTTTTAATGTTTCTTTTATTATCTTTTCTTTTTAATGACTGTTTTTAAATGCCTTTGTCTGAATGTCTTTCATTTTTGTAAAGCACCTTGAATTGCATTGTGTTGAAAGGTGTATACATTTGCCTTGCCTTGAGGGATTATGCATACTTACATTCCACCACTGAAAGAAAGTAAAGCAGCAGTCCATGTGGACATGCTTTTGTCTTTTTGGTTGGTTTGCCCCAGTGTTAGTCCAATAATGTGCTTCTGACCAGCAGGTTTATATCATCTGACTCAGATTAGTCCTGCACATGCACATGCACACACACGCACGCACGCACGCACGCACGCACGCACGCACACGCACACACACACCACACACACACACACACACACACACACACACACACACACACACACACACACACACACACACACACACACACACACACACACACACACACACACACACACACACACACACACACACACACACACACACACACGACTATCCGTCATATTCATTTAATCGGTATTGAATTTATTGTTGCTATGTATTTGTTCTGTACATGCAGCCTGAAGGACTAAATTGTCCTTTCTTTATTGTTTTTTCAATTACTTGAGAGGGAAAATAAAGCTCTTGAACTAACAAGGTTAGATTAGCTAAATTGTTCATTAGAAAATAAGTTCACACGTTTTCAAATAAGATGTATTTGTATCTACGACCTCCTGTCTCATAACTGTCAATCATGTCTGTGTTGTGGAGACGTTTTGAATCAGACACACAGGAGGTTAAATAAAAAATGAGTGGTGCAACGAAGCACCATTCCTGTGTTTTAAACACTCAGTGTCTGCATCCACTAAAAGGTCAGCAATGCCAAGAGGGCAGCAAGTGAATCCACAAATATCTGTGATTTTCTTTCTTTCCAATAGAATTGTTGCCATTTAAAATGCTGGTTTGACATTTAAACAGCTTACGTTTGCCAAGGTGGTGCTGCATTTGTCATGCATTCCCATGACTTGTCGACTGTCAGGCTTAAAGGCCACAAACTATTTGTTTGGTGAGTAAAATGCATTCCTTGCGTGAGGAAGTGAACGTGTAAGGTTGTAAATGGTAGGCTACTGGTAAAAAAGAGTATACAACAGGAACGTGAAGCAGCTGCCTCGAAGTGATTGTGTTTTTCAGTTATCTTTAATACACACTAATTCTCAAAATGTCATGGTTAGTCCCCTTCAATTCATGTATGGCATGAACATCACGCTGTTCTCTTGATAGCATCCGGGTTATTATTTTTATAACTTCCTTAAAAGCTACAGTTTCAGTTAAAAAGCAGTGTGAGGATCTGTTTTGTTTAACTTAGCGGCCCCAGGCCAAGTCAAACAGACGGCCAGCCTAAGAACAGGAAGTACACATGTTCCTGAGCATCTGCAGGGCCCCTGTTTTAATACCAGGTGCTGTCAGAACGGTCCACATCATCAAATAGATGAAACTGTAAAGACTCATGGTAGCCTCAATGTTCGTGCTCACTGACATGTCCAGGCAAGTGTCTGAGCCAGACTCTGTTATGGCTGTATGAGAATACATAATCTTGTCTGTGTGTGTGTGTGTGTGTGTGTGTTGTGTGTGTGTGTGTGTGTGTGTGTGTGTGTGTGTGTGTGTGTGTGTGTGTGTGTGTGTGTGTGTGACTTCTGCTGCCGACACCACTCCACCTGTTTTCCCATCTACCCATCAAAAGCATTTCTGTTGATGGTAAGTTACCCTCTCACGCCTATTTCTTACCTTTACACCCTTATTATAAGTCATGTGTTATTAGGCAGGCATCCCCCCTTTCAAACACAAAGAGCAAATTAGGAAACTGCTACTGGTGACCTTTGAACTTTGTGGCAGGGGGAGGTCTAGATATGGAAGGATGGAGGACATGACTGTGAACCACAAGACCATCTCCGACTGACTTCAGATTTACACATGAAGGAAGTTAGGAGACAAGACTGCAGAAATAGTAGGATATATGGGCAAATACATTGAAAACACATTTTATACTCATTGTTAAGAAAGACATTCAGGCCACTCAGGCCTGTAAAAGAAAAAGAAAAAAATGAAAGATGATAGCATTTTGATGAATAACAATCCTATAAGGCGTTGTGGTGACAAAAATAATGACTTATATTGCAAAATAACAACTTATACCGCAACATAATGAGAATCTTTCTCAAAATAATGATATAGTATCTAAAAGAAATAACTTAATTTTGAGTAAGAAACGTTGTCATTATGATCATTGCAGGCTCTTTTTTTCTTCACAAATGTATTTATTTATTTTTCTTTTACAGGGGGAAATGGTCTTTTATGTTTCAGTTGATCATAGTGTATTCGGATTTTTTTTTCGACCCGTGAAATCGTTGTAATAAGATGAATGTAAGACAGTCACTGAGCACGTTGGTGGCCTTTGGATTTTGAAACATTTAGACACATTTTCCTTTCAAGACACTATTCCATAGCGCAGTGCTTACTTGAACTACTCAGTAACTATAACTTGTCTTTCTGCAAAGCCCCAGTGTTATGAATGAGGCTAAGGGAGTGTATGTATGAGTGTGTGGGGGAGGTGGTGATTAAAAAAAATGAAAGATTGAAAGATGCAGAGATGAAAAGGTTCAGAGGGGAAGAGACAATCTCCAACTGCCCAGCCTTCTCAGCATGTTCCAATTACAGCAGCTTTGAAGCCGAGTCCAGCAAGACGCTGCTTTTGACCCATCCTGAGAGCAGGAGGCGAAATAATGAGATTTGAAATAGGGAAAACGGGGGGTGGTGGTGTGCTGAGAGGCACATGGCCGAGGGGAAGGAGAAAGAAGGGCAGAAAGTATAGCTGATTCATATGAGTGAAGGGGAGATGGATAAAGGCTGAGAAGGACAGAGTGAAAAGGGGCCAATGAGGGCATAAACAAGTTAGAAAGTGAGAACATTGAAGCACGAGAGGGGAACATAAAGAGAAGGCAGCACGCTACAGTGAGCCCTTGTTAGAGTTGATAAATCAGCTACACTGAGCCAAGTTAACAAGCAGGGGCCCGGTCTACCAGTTCAGTTCCTGCACTAATAATCCACAACTCAACACACAGAGACACACGTTGAACATCCTGTGTGCCCTTCAATTACTCCTATGGAAACTTGAAAATCATCGACTTTTTACAACCTGTTGCATACTCCACTTTCTACTCCTCATCAAAACTGTCAATGTTCATGCTTAAAGTAAAGTGCACTTGCTCACAAACTGTTATTTTTCCAATTGTGGAAGATTTTCATATCCTTTCCTTGAAAAAATGCAGTAAAACAATGCAGTAAAGCTCCATTGCGTTTTGACTACTTTAAATAGTTTTGGGTGGTCTAGTCATGCATCATAGTTGATGATCATACAGTATGTTGTGTTGCAATATCTGTATTCAACATAATAATTATAGCTGTCAAAAAGGTGTAGTTGAATGGAAAATATTTACCTATATCCCTTAAGTTAAATTAAAGAAAGGTAGTAAGTAGTGTATAAGTTCTTTATAATCACATCTATTTACACAACACAGTACAGACTACAGCTGGCAAACCTGTTAGCTGAGCTAAGCTTAGCATAAGGACTGGAAACATGGAAAATAGCAACCACAAATTATTTGAATTTATGCAAAAAACAAAGCAAAAAAACCTGTGAATGTTTAATCATTGTTTGTTTAAACCACGCAAAACCTGAAATGACTAGTTGCAGTTATGTTTTGGATATCACTGCTCCCGGCCAAGAAATACTTGTAACAACGTAACAGACACATTTTTCATTTATGGATTAAACAAACGTGATATAACACATGGATAAGTGATGTTTAGAAGTGCTGGTAGAGGGTAGAGCTTGCTAGCTGTTTTGCAAATGTATTCGTCTCATTTAACTCTTTGCAACTAATTAGCAGTTAGCTTTTTCTTTAATGTTAAACACACTTGCTTAGTTAACACCACTGCTCTTTGGCTACTAGACTCAATCACTCATACCAGGTCAACTTTACCATCTCTCACCTCAACCAAAAAACGGCTCTCAGTGTGTGAAACAGCTCTGCAACAGAGCCAGCATTGTACTACAGGTCTGTGAGCTTTCACCTACTTCTACTTTGGAGGATTTTCTTAAAACAGCCACAAAATAGAGATAGAGAAGAAAGCCACACACTCATGCATGCAAAGGTGAGGTTAGCAAGTCCCACCTTTTGGTTTGAGTCCCCTTTTCCTGATCCTCCTGGCATCACTTCCTGTGGCCAGAGCCAACAGGGACAGCAGGAGCACCACAGAGCCCGGCATGGTCTGTGTCCTGCACCCCAAACTCCTTCTTCCTCCTTAGAGGTATTCCTTCTTCCTCTTCTTATTTCAAAGTGTGTCCTTTACAAGTCTGTGGTGCCTTTCCAGCTGAAGCAATAACTCTCCAGTGCTCATGTGCAACCAGAGATTACACAAGCCCTCTCCCTCCAACCGGACCTGCCTTTATATCCGCCTGAGAAAAAGTGCAGGACAGAATGACAGAGTAGAGAGAAGTGAGGGAAAAGTACAAAGGGAATGAATGGAGGCAGTGTAGGGAATAAATGAAAGAAGGAAAGTTAGGGGAGCAGGGGAAGGGAGAAACAGCTGCTGTCTGTGCATCAGTTGCCGAGAGCTGGAACTGTCTGCTGGCATAGCGTGTGCACATGTCTCTGGTAGAGGAGGGGAGGAGGGTGAGAGGAGGGAGGGGAGAGCATTAGATAGGGTAGTGTGTGAGACCTCCCCCTTGCCCCCTAGTTGCATCTCTGTGCACATCTGGTGATCTTTATGTGAGTTTGAGAGAGTTGTGTCAAAGTGCGGTTGGATCACGTTATATTCTGTGGCTTTGCTTCACATGTTTTACTGGAGTGCAGTGTTGTAGGAGGGAAAATAAATGGATTTGCTAAGTGTCGGCATGAAAATAATTATGGACTACTAGCTTATAGCATTAGTTGTAACCATTTATTGACCATTCGGTGTACATTCTTGGTTTTTCTTAGGGACATAGAGTGTGAGGGGACACTTGAACACACCTGAATCCATTCCTGTGTAATGAATTTGGATATATGATGTGTGATTTTAGTTGTTATCAAATTAAAGCATGTGGTGTGTTTCAGGGAAAGGGGCCTCTTTGCCTTCCTTTTTCATAATTTCACCAGTTGTACCCTCTCAAACTAGGACATGTCCCCCAGTCTCACCCCCCACCTTACTCCTAGACCTTTCTCCCCTTTCCCGTCCCCTCCCCTAATTCCATGCTCAGTGTCGTGCACTGAAAGGAAGAAAAGAATGCTAAGCCTGCACAAATCTCAGGCATTATTAGTTTTACAGGAGCAGGGCTCATGTCACAGGGAGGCCCCGGCTTCACTTACACAAAAGACAGAGTAAAGAGTTAGAGGGAGAGAAAAGAGAAGGGGGAGATGAAGAGATAGTGGAAAAGGCCGCATGAATGAGTATGTGAGACACACAGATAAATGAGCCTGTCCATTACAGAAGGTTTGGTAGCATCATTATTATGCGGCATTTAGAGGGGACATATTTAGCAAATGTTTAGGTTCGTATTTGTATCATGTGTTTCTTCCAGAACATTTCTTTACTCTTTTATGAAAAAAAACTAAAAATATTTATCAGACCGTGTGTCTGACTATACCTGTATTTACTCTGTCTGAAACATTCTGTTTTAATGCCTGTTCCCTCCCAAAAACTCAAAGTCTGTTCTAATTGGCTTGCATGAAAAAGATGGTGCACTTTTGCAAAGCAAATGTTAAGGTTTAGGGGAGACACACAGATGGCAGGTGGTACATTCTAATGAGCATGCATTGGATATAGGAAGAGAAGCCCAATCTGAATGTTTTATGGTAGCCCACAAAAAACTAAAGGGATTGTGTTAGTAGGCACTTCAGATACTCAAATATATGTGCACTATGAAAGTCTATTTTCAGGATATGTCGCTCAGCTTTGTCTGCAAGCTACTGTTTTTGCATGTGCAAAAATGCACTTTGTTATAGAAATGTAAAACTCTCAGGTGTAGACAAGCAGGCTACTAGTTTACACTGTAGCTGCAGATAACATTATCTAAAACTGTAGTGGAATGAAATCAACTACATTATTAACTCCAAAACTATAATCAGCTCTGTTTTTTTATTAACTTGCCATGTTTTTTTGAAACTGTACCGCACCCAGAGTAACTGAAGTCCTTATTGGGAAGAAAACTGCAGCTGCAAAGCATCCAGTAATACACAGCATGCTAATATTGCCAGACATCTTCTCACATCATCCATATCCTGCCTCCTTCCAAAATCTGGAATGTATACATGAATATTAAGTTTAAAACTAAACAATTGCATTCATGGACAGAAGGGGTGACACATTCACACATTCCAGCCTACAGATGCAAGATCTTTAAGTAAATGCACTCACACATACTGTACAGTACTGTAACTCTATATACATAGAAGGACACACATAACTCCTCATAGGAACACCTCTGAGATAAAGTCTGCCAACGATCAGTGTGTTCAGAGACAGACGCTTCACTCAAAGACAGAAATTCCTTTCATCTGAGAGGCCTTCTCTGGAGGCAAAGCTGCATTGTAGCTGTGTCTGCAGGGTGGAGTGTGCGAGAGTCTCAGGGGGCTTCATATCACATGCTCCTCTTCTATGGCCAAGATTAATTCCAGTCTGATTCAATCATGGTCTAACACTTGGTAGCTTTCCTGAGAAGGATCTGGCTCAGTGGTCAGCGCAGCTCTGACCTCAGCCACATGACACAGTTAGTATACCGACCAAATGGGAATATGTGTGGCATATGTTTCATAATGAAATTCAGCCTGTGCATCTGGATGGAATATGTGCAGTTTTTGGCCTAACAGAGGTTTGTGTGTTGATACTGTGTGGTTGCATTTCTGTGTACTCAACGCATTAACAAGGTGTACTATGTATAAATATATATATACAGTTGCAAGAAAAACCCTTTGGATTCTCCACACATAGCGTTGTGTGTTCCTTCCAAACAACTCAACTTTGGTTTCATCTGTCCACAGAATATGTTGCCAGTAGTGCTGTGGAACATCCAGGTGCTCTTTTGCAAACTTCAAACGTGCAGCAATGTTTTTTCTGGACAGCAGTGGCTTCCTCCGTGGTGTCCTCCCATGAACTCCATTCTTGTTCAGTGTTTTACATATCGTAGATTCGTCAACAGAGATGTTAGCATGTGCCAGAGATTTCTTTAAGTCTCTAGCTGACACTCTAGGATTCTTCTTCACCTCATTGAGCATTCTGCGCTGTGCTCTTGCAGTCATCTTTACAGGACGGCCACTCCTAGGGAGAGTAGCAACAGTGCTGAACTTTCTCCATTTATCGACAATTTGTCTTACCGTGGACTGATGAACATCAAGGCTTTTAGAGATACTTTTGCAACCCTTTCCAGCTTTATGCAAGTCAACAATTCTTAATCGTAGGTCTTCTGAGAGCTCTTTTGTGCGAGGCATGGTTCACATCTGGCAATGCTTCTTAAGAATAGCAAATTCAAAACTGGTGTGTATTTTTTATAGGGCAGGGCAGCTTTAACCAACACCTCCAATATCGTCTCATTGATTGGACTCCAGGTTGGCTGACTCCTGACTCCAATTAGCTCTTGAAGAAGTCTTTAGCCTTCACCCTGCACTGTGAATGTTTACATGGTGTGTTCAATAAAAACATATAATTGTTTGTGTGGTATTAGTTTAAGCAGACTGTGTTTGTCTATTGTTGTGACTTAGATGAAGATCAGAACACATTTTATGACCAACTTATGCAGAAATACAGGTAATTCCAAAGGGTTCACATACTTTTTCTTGCAACTGTATATATATACGCTTGATAATGAATACTTCTGTAACATAGCTTATTTCTGGCTGAAACAAATGGGAGTTTTGTGTCACATCAACTAACTATTACCAATATCAGGTGACATTACTTTACTGTACTGTGTAGGTTATCCAAATGCTAACATCAGCATGCTCCCAGTGACAATGCTAAGATGCTGATGTTTGTCGCATAATGTTAACCACGTTAGAATGAGAAATGCTTTCTGGTTTGGCTATTCATGGAAAAAAGGTTGCTTCTTCAGCAGTCTGGGGGCGGCGCGATTACATGTAAAGTCAATGCAGAGACGCGGACAGACGCAAATTCACTCCGACGGCGAGCATGAAGCGGTGGACGCGGCGCGAATCACGCGATTGAGGCGATTGAAGGGGGCCGCGTCAAACGCGAGAGTTCAATTTTTTCAACTCGAGCGTCAAATTCACGTGGCGCGTTCTCGCAAAAGCCATTCAGCGTTGGGATTCCCTCTGACGTCCCTCTGACGTCCTGCTGTTGATCAGTTGTAAAGATGGAAGAGATGATCGTGCTTTGTACCTTCTCTATCGTATACCTCCAGTTACCCTCCTGGAGATATACGATACATAAGGTACAAAGCAACAATAGTTGTTCCTCCATAGTCAAGGACAGAAATAACCAAAACGATCTTGCATGGAAGTGTAAACAACCTCAACTGTCCGTCAACGGCGCGGCGCGTCAACGGTCTGTTTTGAATGACGCGATATAACAAACTGCAAGCCGCGGTGAAACTCGAGCGTTTAGAGCGAAGCACACGTCAGTGTGCGGCAGCTTGAAGCAGAAGCCTGTCAAAGCCATTCGTTCCAAATCAGGGCCGTCATTCGGGGTCAGAGTTCAGCCTGAAGGGTCAGGGGTCAGCTGTGATTGGTTGGTTTGAAATAGGCTTCTATATTTGGAGTGGGGTGAAATGGATAAAAATGATGCATTTGAAATACTTATCAAGACAAGTCTAATCCTAAATTAAGGCTGGAGAATAAAACCACGTTTTTTTTTAATTCTCATTTTGCAAGTCTTTAGAGCACTTTGCTCAAATGTTCTCCCTATGCTGTATATCAACACCATTACAAATCTACTTTACTCTTTTTTACTGTCCGGCATTTACAAAGTTCAGCAAGCATTTGGTTTTAATGTGTGTCTGTTGGAATATAAACTGAAGAGAGCAGATACATATCTGACTTGATGACTGTTTTATTTCACTAATGGGATGAGTGTTTGTATTATTTGCACAGTTTGAGTGTGAGTGATGTGATACAACTGGAAACACACACTCATATGGAGAACAAGACTGCGTAGTGGATTTAATTGACTATAAAGGGACGAAGAGAGTATTACTGGCGACAACCCCTCTGCTTTAACAGACATCAACAAAGAAAAGTTGCTACAAGGATAATGGAATCAGATTATTTTACCACTGCAACTCTGCTTTTAAAACACATATTTGTGATGCCTGAAAGCTGATATATTGATGCTTTTCATGCTTTTGTATGATGCCATCTTGCAACACAATGAACTTGATGAGGTTAAGTGAGACAGCTGTTTAAAGGTGCAGCCTAGCAATGGCTAATGGAAAAAAACAAGAGGATGATCAAGAGGGAAAAGGAAGAAACCAGGAAAAGAGGGCAGAAGGGATACAGATGTGTCAATAAAGAGAAAGAAAGAGGGGTGCGAGGAATAATTGACAGCAGACAAAGATATGTTCACATAGACCAAACATCTGCCTCTGAAGTCTTCTTTAGCTTGTGTCGTAAAAATGGGTGTGTTTTTATGAATAACTGCTGCTT